GATGAGATGGCCATTGAACAAAAAAAGCATCATCTGCTCTTATTCCGATGTCCTCAAAAGTAGTACAAAATTTTCGTGTTGGGGTTATCGACGATTTGATAGAAGACCAGTTCGTATATTGATATTCCATCGAACTGAGACTATATAGCTGACGCTATTAGCAGTGGTAGTGTAGTAATAGTAGAAGTAGTAACGGTAGTAGTAGTAGTGAGGCAAAGCCTGGCAACCAAGCTGCTTTTGACCCTTTTGCCGGCCCCCTAGTATCAACACTGTACTACATCAAGAACCCTTCTCTGGTAACTGATTAATAAATCAACCAGCTTCAGTAATACGGTGTACCTATGTTGATATTGTACTGGTGTGGTGCATTACCTGCTGGTATCTCTATGTTTTGTTGGATGTCACATGTCGCTCCCCAAACCCCGTTTATGGCTTAAAAAATCTAAACTAGAACATTAATGCATTACTATATTGGGTGGTTTTCTCCTCAAGAAACTCCGTAATTGCGGATATCTTGAAAGTTTATTGCGCTAAACCGCTGCTGAGCCGATATTAACTACCAAGTAATGGAAAATATGAATATGGAAGTTTCACCAAAGTAGACTAATATTTACAGGCAGAGTTTGTGTGTAATGAAGGCAGGAATGTCTAAGGATTATTTTTAGTGCAAAGGTCGGCCGAGGGTTCGAAATACCTCAATCCTCAATCTATAAATAACACTACGCTGGTCACGCTGTGAAGGCATTGGAATGGAGTGAACATAAATCCTTTTCACCAACTCTACCGGAAAGAATGACAAGTTATTAATCAGGGGCGTAAAATTTTAGATACCTGTTATCTATTTAAACCTCATTTACGTTAATAATATTTGAATATACTATGGTTTCACGTCTATGTAAGTATAAGTACTATACAGGGTTATCCAAATTAAGTGTCCACCATTAGTAACTTTGTTATTAGTGAAAATACAAAGTTGTTTGAATTAGCAAACTAGTAGCATTTTTAACGCTGGTCGCTGAGAGTCGTTATTTTGATTTTTTTCAGTAAAATAACATTTTTTTAAATGGAAACCCCTGTATATTTTTTTCTGTTAAACAAAAAAGTTCATAATGACTTTTCCGCTAAAGTCAAAAATAAAGTCAAAATAACGATAAATATTTTTAATTATTTGCAGTATTATAATATTAAGACGGCTATGAAAACAACATGGCGTTCGCGATTTGACAGCATTAAGATAAGCGACAAATTGTTAAACTGGACATACTCGCAACTAGAAGGCTTTGGAAAACAATGATAAAATCAAATAATGTCAAACATTAGTGTAAATACTTGTTTATAAGCTTTATTGTGTCATTAATTTAAAGAAAAATGTTCTCCCATGAAGAAAAGTGTGATATGTTAGAATGCTATTTAGTGTGCAGAAAATCCTCCTTGAGAGCAAGAGAATACTACAGTGAATTATATCCCGCTCGCATTCAACCGTATGAACGATATTTTCTGAGACTTTATCGAAAATATTTAGGGGCAACGAAAATGTTTTTGCTAAAACAAGGGCAAAAAAAGAATTCATAATAAGCGAGGCCACGGAAATTGCAGTTATTGGATATTTTGAAGCTTATCGTGAGAATTCAATAGCAGATATTCTCAAGGACTCTAATTTCAGTTATGGTACTGTTCAAAGGATTTTAAAAAAATACAAATTTATTCCGTATAAGTACCGACCAGTTCAAACGCTTTTGGCAGGGGATCCAGAGAGAAGACTTGTTTTTTGCCATTGGTATCTTAGCTTCTGTCGCCAAAATGTAAATAACTTTCGTTACCTTTTATGGACAGATGAATCAAATTTTTCAAATTCTGGAATGTTTAATAGAAAAAACCACCATTATTGGTCAAGAGAAAATCTTTTGTTAGTACATCCAAGAGGCCCACAAGTCCGTTTCAGTTTCAACGTTTGGTGCGGTATAATTGGTTCAAAAATTGTTGGCCCGTTCTTTTATGAGGGAACCCTAACTGGTGAAAGATATGTGGAATTTATGTCAGAAATTCTGACTAATTTCTTAGACGAATTGGATCTTATAAGTAGACATCATCTGCATTTTCAGCAAGATGGCGCACCTGCCCACAACTCCAGAGGTACTTATCATTTTCTAAGTACTACTTTTAATGATCAGTGGATAGGAACAAATGGCCCAATACAGTGGCCTCCCAGATCACCAGATCTAAACCCACTTGATTACTTCTTGTGGGGTTACTTAAAGAACCAAATTTACAAGCGAAGGTACGATAACCTTGACGCGTTAAAGACTGCAGTTAGGGAAAAGATAACCCAGATAGATGGTAGGACCATACTTAAGACAGTTCGAGCAGTTGAAAAACGTGCCCAAAAATGTATTGAAGAACAAGGTGGTGTTTTCGAGCATCTTCTTTAAAAAAATTGTTATTGTATTTTGTAAGATTATAAGTTGATGTTGAAAATAAAGTTTGTCGATACAATTTAATTGTTTCAGATTGGAGGCCATAACTTCAACAATTTGTAACCTAGGAGAAAAGTTATTGTAAGCTTTTTTGTTTAAAATTTGATGCTTTAACAGAAAAAAATATAATATACAGGGGTTTCCATTTAAAAAAATGTTATTTTACTGAAAAAAATCAAAATAACGACTCTCAATTGTTTTTTTTATTTCTCATTTTTACCAGCGTTAAAAATGCTACTAGTTTGCTAATTCAAACAACTTTGTATTTTCACTAATAACAAAGTTACTAATGGTGGACACTTAATTTGGATAACCCTGTATAATAGTACGGTCACTCAGCTGTCAAACTTAGCTACTTCTTGTGCGCTTCCTTTTGTCCCAAAGGCAGCTAGAGCATGCATGGTATAGGTTTGCAGATATTATCATTCGCGAAAAACGGTCTGATTTATGAGATTGATTCGTGAGATTGTGAGATTGCTTCAGAAGTCTCATTTTGTGATTTTTTTCTGTCAGCAACCTGTCTGTCTGTAGTCCGGTAAACACGAACTACGCATAAAAGATGGACACATTGTGATTGTAAAGGTTTTCAAATTTGAGGTAATAAAGCTTTTGTGTTGACTTAAGTATATTTCTTGTTTTTGATAATCAATTTGACGGTCATAGGCTTCTTTGTTTCGCAATAATCTCAGCAGCCTATTTTGATAAGCTTTAGGAAGCAACGATTGGTGGGTTCATCTTATATTTCTAATGTAAAACATGACTTTTGTTTGATTTACGAATTCCAAAGATTTACATAGAAAACTAAATATGTTCGGAAAATCTCGGCAAAGCACATTTGTGCCAGTTTTCCGAGTCCTTTGTCATTTTTGGATGCATTTCATTAAACCTTGAGCCATTCAGTGATTTGGTGGTTAATTCTTGAGATGAGTGTGATTTGAATGCACCATAGTATCACCCCAATATGAAACAGTATACTAAACAAAGATCACAAACTCTGTATTCTACTTACTAAGGGTCGTATTGTCAGTCGTTACCACAATAATTGTAGGTCACCTTTATGGCCTCCTTGATTTTTACAGTTTTCTGCTGTTCCGTGGCAGCGTTCCATTTTGAGGTTATTTTACAAATATCTATCTGCATTAAATTGTTCAACCCCAGCAACTGTGAAGTCTATCTCAACACTGATGACACTGCATTAGTGGCCCAGTCCTGTTCTGGTAACCTGGTCCATCACTCGCTACAATGGGCGGTGGAGGAAGTGTTAGAGTGGGCAGATCGGTGGCGGATCAAAATTAATCATTTAAAAGCGCAGGCCATCTATTGTACCAAAAAGCGTCGCGGCGCCCCGTCAGCGATCTCTGTCGATGTGACTCTGATACTGTGGGGAAATTCCGTGATATACCTTGGAGTTACAGTTGACAAGGGGATGATCTGGTGAAGATACACAGAAACGCTTAAAACTGAATTCCAAATTAGTTTCCGGCAGCTTTATCTCTTATTATGTAGGTCTTCAAAATTGAGCTTGATTAAAAAAATTCGACTTTACAAAGTGATCGTCACACCCGCCATTACATACACATGTGCAGCTCGGTGCTTTCTAGCGAAGACGCACATGTGAGCTCTGCAGGTCCTGCAAAAGAGGACCCTACGAACCATCACCAATTGCCCCATTGTATGTCTGAAGCAAAACCCTACACAGAGATCTTGACATTCGTTATTTAGGGGATTACATCAACAATCAGGCGCAGCGACATTAAGAACAAGCAGAATCACATTGCAACCCTTTGTTGCGCGAGTCAGTAGACTACACAGTGGAGCAAGTTCGCGAACATTCCAGGCCCCGGCTCTCACTGTGAACCACATTGAATCGCGCAATTTCGTATAATACGAGTATAAAATATTTTAACAGAAATCCAACCAAATTATTCTTCGGCATCCAAAATTATTACAGTAATTTTCAACAATGCCTTTCTAACAGTTGTATTTCTTAATCTTTGCTCTCCCTCTTGTTTCATTCTTTTTTCTTTCTGCTTTCTATTAATCATCCCGTAATTTTATACAACTCAGAACTATTGAAATTCTTCGAAATTCTTTCTTTATTAACGCATACAGCATCTATAGCCTCACAATAAGAGTGCGCTGATGCTGACATGGACATGGAACAGAAATACCCCAGCCTTTCTGAAGAAGAGAAAAGACTATGAGAATCAAGGAGACCATAAAAGCATCCTACAATTGTAAGAACTACTGGCGATACGGTTCTAATGTGTTTTGTTTGAGTCTAATGATCTCGGGAAACTTGAGTATACTTCTAACACGAAATTTTTTGTACACAGTTTATTCATAATCTTGCCTGGTTGGTAATGATCCTGCCTTAATACTTTCAATTTCTTCCAGCATTAGGCGAGCTACCTTCAGACCTGTCTTTATGCTTTGTAATCTCTGAATCTGATTTTCCGATATATAGGTATAATAGTATCAAGCGTTCTGAATCTCGAAAATGCTTTGCTCCTACCCAAAATCTAGGCTCGGTAGCAAAGAGCGGCTGGTTCCGACCGCAATCCCTTTCATCAGGCTCCAGGTCGACGTCTACTAGGTATCAGTTTTCACCCGGAAAAAGGCACATAGGCGCTTTGGCCAGACTGGGATGGCTGCCTTCGCTCCGGAACATCCGGAGGTTCAACAGATCCGGACGATCAGCCAGTGACGCGTGCAGGTTATATATTGGTGTTGGATGGATGTTTCCGTAGAGTTGTAGATGTTTAGGTTTAGTCGAATAGAATGGAGTTTCAACAGACCTAGCTCTAATATTGATAGAATTATGTACGCGATAAATAAATGACGATCATGTTTACGCCACGCATAGCCCAGCGCATTGGTACCTACAGAGCATCAACTATTATTTATGATGTTCTGTGGATCAATGCTGGTCTATGGTCTATGACCGCTTACACGATATTCTATGGGCTATGCATACAAGTGCTAGGCTGGCCAGGTGTAAACGTTGTCAAAACTCGACTGAATCAAGTTTAAATAGAAGCAGTATGATTTATTTTATTAAAAAAATCAAGAAATACGTGAATAAATGAAAGTTCCACAGGAAGGAATATTCCTTGTTCGTGGGAGAATAGCATTATATATAAAAATAAGACTCAATTATAAAAATAAGATTCAAATAATTAACCAGAAGTCCTGCAAGTATGCGATTATTAAACATCCATCTTTGAGTGCTTAGAAGCCCCATTGGTTGTAACCACTGATACTCGCTTACGCCGTTCCATCACAATCAACGCTTCATATCCCTGAAATTCAACGCGCTTTGATAACTATTGTCATATGAGCCATTTACAATTTATTATAAAAATTCACCCTATGCTTGAAATTATTTCGTAACACAAATTGTCAAAATTTTGAATACTACAAAAGCCTTGAAAATTTGGAAAAAATTGAATATTATGAAAATTTAGAAAATTTTGAAATTTACAATATTATCAAAAGTATCAAAATTATAATAATTGCTATTGTCAAAATTTACAAGATCTTTGTTGTAAAAATTTTCAAGGTTTTCTGTTTTCAAAATTTTCATAATATTGTCAATCAATTCTGGATATTTTGAGTATTCTAAAAACTATGATAATTCTGAGGTGTTCGAGAATTTTTGAAGCTTATGATAACAACTGTTACGGACTACTGTGAAACATAAATAATAGGGTCACTCAAGGATCCCTTATTGTTAGTTTAAAGTCCAAGGGTTGATCCATCCTGTAACGGCACCCATCCTTCGACCAAAAATGTGTTAGGTAACTTACTTCTCAGAGATCGATAAGTCAGAGGTCTACTGCACTTCTTGCTGTTTATTGTGTCACATTGATAAAGGTTCATAGGCTGACAATTATCTCTTGATACCAAACTGAATAGTGTAATCTCCCACGCAAGAACCCTAAAGACTAGAGGATAATGGATGACAAGCTCACACGGAAAGTGTGAGTTATAAATTATAAGTTGACTCGCTTTTGGGGCTCCTCGCCGAAGATTATACGATTCGGTAAAGCATCCAACGATCTGTATGTCTGTCTGAAGTTCAAAATTCAAATGCCCTGCGAATCCCACCCTAATGTTGTTGTAGTTAGAACCGGTATATGTTGTACATAGTTTCAAAAATGTAGATGTGCATGTTCTGCTTAAATTATAGTTAAGTTCAAGGCTGAAAGACACCACGATGTCCAATGTTACTCCTTCTAGGCAGCGCTAGTGTGACTGGAGGTTAAGCTGTAAAAAGTATATTAGACGAAGATAGATTAAGGCGAGGTTCGCAAGGAAGTTGAGGTTAGGAAACATTTGAATTCAAACTAATAATTCCGTTTACTCTGTCTCAAATACTTGTAAACCTCGCCTTAAGCTGTGTTAACCATAGACATGACCACCAATCTAACCAGCGCCATCTGCTCTTGGCTTTTCAGATTACCTTCCATTAACTTAACCTGAGGGGTACGTCGAATCATACTACTTTCAGTCTATAACCTGACTACGAAACTATTTGGTCCACAACTGACCAAAACAGCACGTGTTTTATCGGCAATACTAAGCTAATGTTCCTCAAGGTCCAATCAGACAGAACACCTCTTCGTATTGGAAAACGTATACCTGTTTTACCTTATGAGATACCTAATGTCCTGAAGGGCGCCATTGCAGGTTACCTAAGAGACACCATTCTGGTGGCGCTCTTCAAATGTCTAAAGTTCCACAGAGCGCCAATCAAGACACTTGTTATAGGAGCACACAATATCGTATGACCTTGATCGTCACTTAATTTATATGCACCTAGATGAACGATATCAAATTTCCTCATCTTGTAGAAACTCAAAATCTTCTATTGCAATAAAATATAATATAAAGTGCAGCAAGGATCAGTTCGACGAGCTCGAGGAGGTGCTATTTTTGAACAATTTCGGTAGTTACTATTTCCGTTTATTAGTTTTGTTGCCATCCTCAATTGTTATTGTTAAAAACAACGCTACTCACATATTATCCAAAGCAACTTGATTATTATGTTATAAAAATGTTTTATCATCATGATACAAATAATGCAATGCAACCTTTAAAAACAAATATCTCTAAATCTATTAACTTTAGACACTTCTAACAAGTAAACCTTTTTTGTTGTGGAAATAGGAGAAAAAGGATTTTTTGTTAGGATGTTGTGTACAGGGTAGCACAAAAAAGTTATGATGAGTTATTTAAGGAAGTGCTGTAAGTGACCCCCTCTAGAAATTTCGACATAAAAAAACGGATTCTTGTTTCTCATATTGGAAAACCTCGCTATACCGAGTTTTATGCCAAAATCTGGAATATTTCTCAAGCAATAAGGAAGAATAAAAAATAAAATTTTATCTTTGACACCCTGTATCTCGCAAACTTTCAACTTTGGACTGAGGTATATTTAGGCCAGTTCACATATTTTGGTCTGTAGTATCTCCAGTTTCGAGATTTCCCAAACTTCCGCAGACAGGTTGGCCCATCCATGCGTGGACGGAATATTACTCATAAACAAATACATTTTGGAAAAATCTATTAATGGGATGTTATACGTGACATTTTGGGGCGCAGTTCTAAAATATTGGCCATTATTCAGGGTGTCCCAATTTCGACCTACATATCAAAGTTGTGATTTTTCAAATGGTTTGCCTCAAATTTTATTGCATATTTGGATAAACCAATTCAAAAGAAAAAAATTGATATAACATACTATGGGGTTTTGGCAATTAGCTACTGAGATATAAGGTGTTTTGTCTAGAAAAACCCCCACTTCGGCAACCTCTCAGCACACCATTTTGAAATTTGAAGTACTGAATTTTGTATCAAAAAAAAACTTACACCTCAGCTTATATCTTATTTGTTACTATTTCGAATTTTAATTTTTGCTCATACAGGGTGGTCAAAAACGCAAATTGTGGTTTTTCGCAGAAATGTCAAATGCACCACATTGTATATTTGTGCAGTTTTGGATTCAATTTTCAGTTTTTTTTTTTGGTACTAGACACATAAGGGTCCTTACGGCAATTTTTCGGTTATTAGCCCGTCCTTGATGGAACGACTTACGAGTAATTCCCTAAAATATCGGATCATCCTTGGAAACAAATAAATTGTTGAGTAGTTACAAACTGTCAAAATTAGCTTTGTGAGCATTATAACAAAAACGTGTTGGAAAATGAATTTTTCTAATGAAGAAACGGTGAGTATGGTGTTCGTTTTGGTTTTTATCGCCGTGTCGTCGACAATAGTATCGGTCTTTCTTGGTACAAGACGTAGCAGAGATGCTTCTGAAAAGGCAGTTTAGGAATAGCTAATGTATACAAAGGGCTATAGAGCAAATCTTGTAATAGCTATTCACAAGGTTCAACAGATAATAAATACTGTCACTTTTAATATGATCAGCAAAGTGAAAACCGTTGCGAATGTCGGTCGTGAGTAGCAAAATCTCAGTTTAAATTTCGATTAGGACACCTTCCATTACGTCATTTCGTTTCAGTCTCAATCAGAGCAAATGAGTCCGTTGTATTTTCCTAAAGACTTTCTTGGCGTTTGAGAAGAGTACTGGAAAGAATTGCCTCTTAGAGCTGCTGCCCCTGCAAAAGCATCAATTAATGCCCTCGTAGAAAAACCCTTGGAAAAACCGTAAAGTGATTAAAAGTGAGCTATAAAACAGGCAAGGTATCTTTAGGAAAACCCGTTTTTTTAATTAAAAACAAAGTGGCAGGTTTTTTGCAGACTTTTAATGTTCTATTGAAGATTTAAAGGACGTCTTTCTTTCCCAGCAAATCCTCAGGGAACGCTTGTATTGATTTACTTTTACAACGAGGCTATTGAAATTTTATAGTTCAGTAGGGGGCGAGACAGCAGATTTCTTTTCAGTTATGATACGGCCTCAATGCTCGCTACTTTCCTGAAGAGTATTTAATAATCCGCGTTTTTTTAAATGAACATTTATCCAAAAAACTAGTTCGTTTGACCGCAAGTCCTATATTCAGGGTGTCAATAAAGTATGTAGACAAGGTTTGACCGTCAAATCCTTGATCAATTTGAAGACTAAATGTTCATATGAACATGGGTCGGAAACGCCTTTCTTTTCGAGCTAGAGCACTAAAGAAATACGAGTAATGTTCCAAATATTTCTATGAATAACGAAACGTATTGTTGGTACTACCTGTGATAAATTTACCATGTTTTACAAGTTGCTGAGGCTCAATATGAACGTGGATGAAAATAGTGTTATCCTGTATTTTGTGGAAAAAAATTTACTTAGAAGGTCAATAGTTATAAAGCGACAACAATAGAAAATATCGGATAGTTTTTTTTACAATAAACGTTCAAAGTGGCCACGAATTATTTGAGAAAATAAATTCATTCAATTGTTTTCGGGTACGTCATAGGTGACTAGATAATCACAATGCTTAAATATTAGGTATTAAGTATTGCGATCAAAACAAATCAATGTCATGTTAATTTTTCAAAAAATACTGGATAACATTATTAGTATCTACGTAAAGGAGGGTCTGAAAACAACTGTAAATCATGTGATATTCACCACAGGGCATACCTAATTGAAATAAAATACGTTCCATTCTTCTATAATTTTTTAGAACAATATCATTTCTTTTAGTGCTAATATGCTCTAGCTTGAAAACATAGGCCTCGCGGACCCACGTTCATATTTCGTCTCCAAATTGACCAAGGATTCGATGAATAAAGT